GCGAGCGAGCGAGCGAGCGAGAGAGTCAGCACACACCAACATACAAGGATGTGAAATGCATTTAGCTTCCCGTTGATTCCTTCTCCTCTGCCGGCATCGCCGCGGCTGAGAACGTCGAAGGCTTCGTTCCACAAGGCCCATTGACGATCTGGAACTTCGGGTTTGATAAAGTCTCGCCTGTGCGCGGCCACATCTCTGAGTTTAGGTTCTGGCAGCTGGTGAGCTCAACTGACGAAGGAGAGAGCGGCTACCATGGGCAAGCGCCAGCTTGCAGACTCACCCAAGTGCACAAGAAGGCTCCGTGGTTGAGGCCCTCCCTGCTCTGCATCACGGAAAGCGCGACGTTGCCAGTGTGTGCTGAAACACACATGCACCAACAATGCCACCACCGAAGAATTTGCAAAATATCCTCCAACCCACCCACCAGCATGCCAAAAACATCCCGGGGGGTTCTTTGGTGGAATCCGCACTTTGGAGTCATTTTGGCCAACCCAAAGGCTCTTCGGACCGAGGGCCGGCACTCTCCAAAAATAAAGGGGAGAGAAAAGAGAGAGAATGATGGGAAGGAAAGGGCCCCCGTGAGTTCTCTCAAAAGTGTCCGAAAAAAGGTGTGAAAAAGCGCTTTTCTACTATACTCCTTGCCAGCCTTGTGCCGGCAGCCTCACCGCGCTTTGCGAACAAAGCCTCCTCAAGATTTGCAGGACCGTCAATCGAAACAGCGCCCCCTGCCGTGAAGGGCCGATCCTTCTGCAAGAGGGCCTGCTCCACTTTTGCCACTTGCATGCCTCGGTGCAGACGAAGTCCGGGGTTTAGTGGAGGTACACAACAGACACTGAGAAAATCCTATATCAAAGCGAATATGCAGCCCAAGCACTCAGCAGCTGGCATACAACCTGGTTGACGGCAGGGCTGCCTGGGATGTCAAAAGCTAGAAAGCAAACTCCAAGCAACAAGATCAGCTTATCGCGAAAGGCTAGAAGGAGGCTTATAAATTACGGACCTCCTGGCCTCTTTCAGCGGCCACTGAACAAAGGTCGCCCTCACGGATGGCACACCCTAGTCATGCACGCACGAGTGCTGAACCGGCATCGAAGCTGCTTTCCTTATGGCGAAACTCTGTCGGGCACATGGCAGCGACGTAATCCTCCTGACCCATGGCCGAGCACGTAGGAACATGTTATGGTTTGCAGCGACATCAGACAAGCCTGCTTGAAGACAGCTGACACTGCCACGGGAACCAATGCCTACTGTGCCATTGAATTCGACGGTGCGGAGAAGCAAGGCTTCACGCAGAAGGCGGTGTCCTTTGTCACCCTGGAGCCGCCATCGAAGAATCTCTTTCGCAAGGCATCGTGCATAACGCGAGCCTGTGCAGCTTCAAGAGCAAAACTTCGGGTGCCTTCTCAACAGCTTGTTCAACAGTCTCCTTGCAAAGTGGTTTAGTACGGACCCGATCCTGGCCTCTCTGGTGCTGTAGGCGAGGTTCTCGTACTCTTCTAGCAACTCTTGCCGAATGCGTGCTGGCAGGATCGGGCGGGCAAAATAACCTGAATCATGAAAGCGACGCTTGGCCATTCTCAGGGCTTTACGACACTATGGTTCAGGGTTCTTCTGCACGAAACTGTGGCACTTTGCAACTCGGAAGCTTTCGACGTACAGCTGCATGCGGCGAAAGTTCGATGATTGCGCTCTGAGCTCCTCTATGAGGTCCAACCTTACGGCAAGAATGGGAAGCGTAATGGTCAGGATTGTCGAGGTGACAGGGCCCTTTCGCGACTAGGGTCCGAAGACCACTTCAAACAAGGGATAATAAGGGTTTAGGCGATGCTGCGTTTCAAGCGACTCCTTCATCCAAGTCTGGAACATGCGAAGCTGCCGCGGCTTCGCATTCGGGCAGATCTTTCTGAGAAAAAGTGATAAGCTGGGCTTCCTGAGAGCAGGATACATCAAGGCCTTGACGGTTTAGGGTTTAGGGTTCAGCAGGGCCGTAGTTTGCTCTTATTTGCACACCCGGCTGTTTCCTCTTTACCTCATGTTCGGTGATTCGGCGATATGAGAAAAATGGAAACTGCAATGCCAATATGAGACCACGTAAACAGTTCAACTATGATGGCGAAGATGGCCTTTGGAGTGTCCGTCTGAGTCTGGCAGCCACATCGAAACAAACTCACAGCAATAAACTTTTGCGATGTCCGCAACACAAGTTTGGTGTCAAATTTTTCAAGTGCCGTCATCCAAAACCAAACACATCGTATCTAAGCTCTGTTGCTGCATAAACCTGCCTCCGCTGGAGCCACTGCGCAAAGGCACAAGTCCCAAAGAACCGGGAGGGTTGCTGAACGTTGCAAGGGTCTGCCCGTTCCCCCGCAAACGCTCCATCTCGTCCAAGCCTCGGAGGTACATTCATAACCCAGAATGTCTGCAGTCTTGCAAGTCCTTCTCTCTCATTCGGTTCGATGCCCTTTGGGCTCTCCCTGGGACTGTTATACTATAATATACTATAATATACTATAGTATACTAAAATATACTATAATATACTATAATATACTATAATATACTATATATACTATAATATACTATGTTAAGTTCTCAAGGAAGGCGGAAAGGGCCAAGCCCGACTGGAGTGCCGATGCACAGGTCAGGGTGCAGCAGGAGACGTGACCGGGCCGCCTGCCCTGCACTGCACCCATGCCCATTTTTAGGGGCTTTGGGTTTAGGGTTTAGGGTTTAGGGTTTAGGGTGGCTGCGAGGGGCATGGGCTCCAATCCGCGCTGGGAGAGTCAGAGGGCGAGAGAGCGAGCGAGTGTGGAGGGTTCGCCGTTCCAGCCAGAGAGAACAGAGGAGATGGGGAGCTTGTGGAAGCTGCGCAGGTGCACCGCCGAGCAGAGTTACAGCATCCTTATGTGCATATAATGATTAATCTTCTACTACTACTACTACTACTACTACTACTCCTGCTGCTGCTGCTGCTGCTGCTGCTGCTGCTGCTGCTACTACTACTACTACTACTGCTACTACTACTACTATCAGTACTATAATTATGAGTATTGTTTTTCTTATGAACAGTAATATTGGTACTCATAATAATGCTAATTGTAATATTAATATTTTGTAGGAATATGCATGTGCATGTTAATCTTAGCACCATTATCATTGTTGTTGTTGTTGTCATGACTATTTCTTGAGGGGCGGGACTAGGGGAACGAATAGGCAGAAGGGACGGAAAGCCACACAGTGCTGGCGAGGCGGGCTCCAAGCATCGTCTTCTCCAACCACATCAGCAAAGAGCTGACGAGGCGGGAAATCAGCAACGGAGGAGAAACAAAGCTGGCGGTGTGGGCTCCAGGCATCCTCACGCGCAACCAGAACCGCATCAGCAATGTAAGGGAACAGAGATGACATCATCACCTCCAGCACATCCAACCACATCGACAACTCAGAAGCAGAATGAGGAGGGATGCGGCGGGAGGGGGCGGGGGCGGGGGGAGGGGGGGGCAAGGGGAGGGTGACGGGGCGAGGGGGTGTCTACATCAATTCTTTTGTGTCTGGGCCTGCGGTCCCGGCCCACTGCTTACGAGATAGAAATGAAAGCCCCGCCACGCCAGCTTTCGTGAATATTACAGTATTATTATTATTATGATTATTCTTCTTCTTATTATTCTTATTATTATTGTTATTATTTTCCGGTGACTTGCGATTCGGGCTGTCTCTGAGGATCGGACCTCGCACAGCTCGGTTGCACCAGAGATCCGGCGGGATGGACTCCCCCAGGGCACCTCGCAGAAATCGATCACAGTATATTATCCTATGTCATACTATGTTATATTAAACTATAGTTTAGTACAGTATAGCACAGTTTAGTATAGCACATGACCGCCAAAGCCGGCTGTGGATGGGACATGAGATACGAGGTGTATAGTGTATACCACTCGACCGCAAAGTTCAAGCACCTTACTGAAGCCATCACCTTTTGCGCAGCCGGGATGCGCTCGATGTCTGTATGAGATAAAGCGAAGTCCCGCTGCCTTTCGCACTCTTGGAATACTTTCCGCACCATGCCTGCAGACTCACACGCTCTCCAATCGGTCCAGCAACCTGTCTCTTCAGCACGGCCCTCTGCTACTCCAGTAGCAGCTCTAGCCCCGAATCCTACATCCAGAGCTGTTGACAACATGAGTCACATTACTCAGTAATGGTTCCGGGTCCAGTTCCACAGGATGGTCCTGTGTCACTTGGCGCAGGAAGCATACGTGCACTGACTCCATGAAGCCGTGCCAGCCTATCTCATCACGGCGGAGGAAGCCTTTGCAACACATGTGCGATAGAGCCCCATTACATCTAATGTCTTTTATATTTTTATATTTTTATATACATATATATATATATATATGTATAAGTCTATGATAACATCTAATGTGCACTAATTAACTTGTAAAATGCCGTGGGCTTCACCTGCGTAGCTCCAAGCCGCTGGTACCACATTTCCCGAAATCCTCAAGCCAAAACCCTCAACCCCGAACTGCTCGACATCTGAAAACCTCAACCCTAAGCTGCATACGAAGGAGCTTGAGTCCAAGGAGGCTGCCGTCTCCAACGGCAGCTCCACTGGGCCCGTGTGGGACATCCTGAACCTTCTTTCCTGCAGGAGTTAGGGCTTGAGAGGGTTAAGATGTTTGGGGCTTTGAGATGTCAACCCCTAAACCCTAAACCATCAAGTCTCGAAGACACATCGCGTCATCGCAATTCTGCCCTTGGCTTGGCAGTCCTCATCCTCGAAAAGCTCCGGATCATCTTCCAAGCCGCGAATGGAAAATCGCTCCAGAAGCATTTTAAAGGGAGCAGAGAGCGGATCGCCGCTGTCAGACAAGAACCACCTTAGATGGTTTGCGGCTTAGGCTTTAGAAGACAGCGCAACTCAAGGGGCTGGTTCCAAGCAGAGGCCACTGTATGTATGATAGTCTCTGGGATGAAACATCCCCATACTTGTGATACTAATACCAATACTAACACTAACACCAATACTAATACTAATAACAATAATATTAATAATAAATAAAAATATAAACAGAAATCGAAATAGAAATAGAAATATATATATATAACAAAAAGCTTGCAGTTAGCGAGGCGCTCTTCAATAAGCCAGAGAGGTGCTGTGTCGCTGGCTTTGATCTTCTTGGCCTTAGCGTTTATTCGAGGTTTGCGACCCGCTGTTCGAAGATGAGGGGGGACATCACTGATCCATGTTCTGCATTGTATCTCAACTCCATGGCACCTCCTGGAACGGCAGCCTGCAGCAGGCACTGTTGACCACACGCTCGAAAAGGCATTTTCCCAGCTGTTGGCGCGCGCTTGGCCTCGGATGTCACAGCAAAGATGGCAACCAGAAGTTGGCATGGACGCATGTCACACGGAGAAAAGCTAGGAAACGCATCGGGGTGACCACGCCCAACTACATGTGCTAACAGTATCTCCTGATGCCGATATATGCAACATGCACCCCAACACAAGCTGCTCGAACCATCAAGGTGAAGCTCTGATCCAAGGCTCTTCGGAGCAACGCATGGACTGTCGAGGAGTGCGAAGGCACCAGCAATGCCGTAGAGAAACGACGAGATCCTTACACACAGGCACGAACGACTTTGAATCCTACTCATGCAACTGCAGAATGAGCCCAGTAATACTACCTGGAATAATGAAACTATCTCATACATCTGTGTAAATTAAAATACAATCCAATGCAACACAATCGAACACAATACGATAAAATACAGTACAGCACGATACAATACAATGAGAAACAACACAGCGTACTGTTATATGATATAATGTAATATAATGTGGTGTAATGTCATGCCATTTAAAGATACAGTATAACATACTATAGTGTGATACAACGCAGTATTACATTATAATATACAGTTTTTACATTATAGCATACTATAACAGAACACAGTATAATGTAACAAAAACATACCATAACGTAGTATAGTAGGTTAGAACAGAATAGAATAGAACATAATAGAACGAATAGAAGAGAATGCAATAGAATATACTATAATAGCATGGTGCAGTATATCATAATGTAATATAATGTAGCATGGTATAATAAAGAAAATTGTAATATAGTCTAGTGCAAAAATATGAAGTGGAATATAATGTAACAAGATGCGCCAAAATATGATACAGCATCGTATAATGTAATGCAATGTAGATTAATGTGCCATAGTATGTTGTATTATGACATAACATAACATAGCATCGTACAGTATGATATCATATCATAGTCTGTTCTGTTCTGTTAATTACATGTACACAATGCAAGTGGTCTGTGTATAGAAACATATACATATACATATACATAGACACCTGGGCGGAACCTGCAGCTCGTGAGCCTAGGTCATAATGTAGGAACCTGATTAAGAAACCCTGGATCTTTATCAGGAATCTCAATATGGGTTTACGGCTTAGGGTTTAGGGCAGGGTTTAGGGCTGGGGTTTTAAGGCCAGGGTTTCTAAATCAAGTTCCTACATTACCAAGAATCATCTGCACAAACTCGGCCGGCTCGAGGGTCTGGCTGTCGTTCTCATTGAAGATACCCAGCCTTGATGCTGCAACAGAGAGAGTTTGGGGTTCAGGGTTTGGGGTTTAAGGGTTTAGGAGTTTAGGGATGCACGCTTCCTGAAGAATGTTACAAATCAGTTCACCTTGGTCCAAGCAGCAAAAATCGGATCTTTTGCCTCTTAGAGATCGTGGTTGACAGGAAGATGCCGGCCGACAGGAAAGCAGGAACGGAGAACTTCACCTTCTTCAAGTCTGTCGCTAACCTCGCAGGAGGTTTCAGGCTTCAGGGTTCAGGCTTTAGGCTTCAGGGTTTAGGGTTTAGGCTTAATGCTTTCGGTTTCAAGGGTTCAGGGCTTTAGGGGCTTAGGGTTTATGGTTGATTGAGGGCTTCAGACTCTTCAAAGTTGATCTGAATCGCTCACGAGCCTCGGCTAATCTCCTTTTCTGTTCATGCTTACGGTTAGGGAGGGGGGTTTAGGGGTTTAGGGATTTAGGGATTTAGGGCTTTAGGGGTTTAGGGATTTAGCAACCGGCCTGGTGCCCTCATGCTGAGCATACGCGGCAGGATCGAAGAGCTTGACCCATGCGAGGGTTTTCCTTGCGAAGGGCTAATTCAAATTTTGCTTTAGGCGCACAAAAGAAGGATGAGCAGGCGTTGTGTCGCGAAAAAAGGACGCTTCTCCTTTCTTCTTCTGGGTTCACCCACGAAAAGTTCAGCCAGCCAAGCCAAGCAAAGGATCGGCATGGCAACGGAGAGCAACTCTTGCAGCTCATATGCATCTATAATCCTTGGTCGATCCCGCATCTGCATGCATGGCTGACACACGTCAACATTCCGGCATCATGAAGAAAGGATGGTCCAAGAGCATGCAGCGACAGTAGTTGTAGTGCAACCATAACCCAGAGCCGTGATATGTAAACCCTAAACCCTAAACCCTAAGACTGCAAAATATGACGCACATGGCAACGACGCCAGGACGCTTCGGCGCACGGCCGGGCTTCCTCGGATGAGATGTCGGTTCAAGTTGCTTTCTTGTGGGACTCTGCAAGAATCTGAGAATCTGCCATGTACCAGATTGGAAAGGGCTTTCAAAAACCCTAAGCCCTAAACCCTACATCCTAAAATCCTAAAACCCTAAACCCTAAAACCCTAAACCCCTAAACCCTAAACCGTATCTCGCTGTACTCGGCAAAATGGCAAATACCCCCTGCCTTAGACCAAGGGTCCAGGATCCCATGGCTTGCCATCGATTGAAGACTTCCATCTGAGGCATGGGGGTTTAGGGTCTAGGGTTTAGGGTTCAGGGTTTAGGGTTTAGGGTTCAGGGTTCAGGGTTTAGGGTTTAGGGTTCAGGGTTCAGGGTTTAGGGTTTAGGGTTTAGGGTTTAGGGGGCAACATCAGATCTCAAGTGCCTACGCAAGCACAAAGGACCACCCAAGGCGAGCGGTGTCTGGTCTGGAGTCAGTTTCACCGTTTAGGGGTTTAGAGGGGTTTAGGGTCCAGGGGTTTAGGGTTTAGGGCTAGCTCGACATCACCGGGCTAAAAAGCCGGCGCACCCAGTAGTCCATGGAGCGCGTAGAAAGGCCCCTGCTGTCAGCAGGAGGTGTACCGACGAGCACACGGTTCCAAAGGTCTTCTTGAGCAATCGGACGGAACAGCCCCGACCAGGCAATGATCAGAAGATAAGGGACCCTGAAATAAACATAACCATGAATTGTAGGAGCCTTATTAAGAAACTGACCCCGCAAAAGGGTGCCCCCAATCTATTGAAACACGCAGTGTGGCATTACAACTTTTCTTTAACCTCTATAGCCCTTCTTGTACCAGGCATCGAGCCAATCCAATTGAGGGTCCTCCTCAAAGATATGTGCAGACAGCTCGTCGAGCGATTCGTCCGCAAATGAAAGCTGCCGTTGCAGCTGGCCTATTGGGTTTAGGGCCGGTATGCCTGTATGTGTCTGTGCATGTATGTATGTGTGTATGTATATACAGACATGTACAGTTGTAGGCGTGAGCACATGCACACACTTCCCTATGCAACAATCTGCTTGTTGCCTCTACCGATAAACCGAGGCCACAGTGACCTGACACAGGGCCCAGATACGGACTTCTCCGATGCAGGAGGGAGGCTGGAGGCTCTATTCCTCATGCCCACACATACCACCAAAGCACTACGAAAATGACAAGCATTACATAGCATTACTGTAATTGTTCGGACATTGACATTATTAATAGTGTTTGTACTACTATTCTCAGTACCTTAACCAGTGCTGAGCAGCTTGCCGTGCACGACAGGATCAACTCTGATGCGAAGGCAAGCACAGACAGAGATGGCAAACGCAGCTAGAGGTAGGCAGAGCCGGTCAGTCAGGGAGAGGGAAAGAGAAAGAGTCAGAAGACCAGAACAGGCACACAGAGATAAACTGACAGAGGCACACAGTCCGCCGGAGACGGCCTTGGGCAACAAATGATCGCACAGATGGACCCCAGATGTGAGCAGGCATGCCAAGAAGCTGTGGTAGCCCAGCAGGTACAGTCACAAGCATAGACTGCACGAAAAGAAGATCTGAGCAGAGATTCTGGCATGAAAGCAAAGCAGAACTGCGACGGGCTTTGGACTCGGTCCTGCTGGGATGAGAGACAGGCGTCGAGCACCACCACCCTCCCGTTTCGGGCTCGGACCAGACCTGACACAGGCTTCGAGCTAGGTCCCTCCAGTTGTTCCTTAAGAGAACTAGATTTGAGGATTTACGGGTTTAGGGTTTTGGGTTTACAGCAAGATCTCGGCTTGTCCAAGCATGACGCCACTACCAAGGACTGCAAAAGGATCCTCCTGCACACTTTGGCTGCAACTGGATCTGAGCACGGAGATACCGGTAGACTCTGCACATCTCTTGGCAGCCCCTACAGTGCATCTTACACAGTCTTACCTGGCTTCAGCGCTTCTTTCAACTGTTCCTCTGCTTCCCAAACCTCTTCTTGCATGCACACTTGGACTCGCATCGCTGGCATCACGCAATATCAAGCATATCAAGCCATCTTAGACCCATTGAAGGAACCTTCGCACAGAGGCTGACTCGGCTGGACCAGTTGTGACGAACATCGAAGCTGGTTGGCTCATGTACTGCTGCCAGGATGCTGGTCCAATCTATCCTTACAAGTGCAAGTGTGCGGGGCTGGTCAAGGGCCATCTTCGAAGCTCGCTGAAGGTGAAAACTCTTTCTGAGTCTCCGGCTGAGACTTCGGAGAAGGTCGACGCCTTCTCTACCCGCGGTCTCGAAGAACTTTGTGACGACGGCGGCCGGCCCTCATTGCAGCAAGACGTGCTGCTAGATGTAATCACTACCACTTTAAATTTCCGCTGCAACTTCGTCCCATCTTCTCATCGGCGGAGCCAACTGGTCCACGTCCGTGCTTGGTGGGCTTTGCTCAAAATTCAAGCAACATGTCTACCAAACACGCAGCGTCGCACTGACGCCCCTGAACTGCCTTAAGCGGCTTCAGATCTTCGACCCAATGTGCCTCGCAACGGAAACCGGACGGTTGCACGAATATCTTCCTGCATGCCGAGAGACGCCAGTGGGAGTCCTGCAGCTACAAGACGTGGTGCAGTGGTATTGGCTTCACTTTCGAATCCAGCTCACTTCATCAGGACACTAGCCTCACTGCTGCTCTTGCATCGTGACGAAGACACTTCAAGACACAACATCGGAACTACTTTGACATCAGAATTGGCGCAGTCATAAGCAGGACCCCAGATCCCAAGCACAAGCAACGCGGCCTTCGAACAGGGCTGCCATCAGTTAAGGATCGCGGCGCCTTTGCAAGGCAACTCTGCAGGAGAAAAAGGGTCAAACTCTAAACCTCAAGCACCCTGAGTCCTACACCCTAAGCCCCAAATCCTCAGCCCTGATCCCTAAACCTAAACCCTAAACCGCTTGCAAGCGATCGCATGGAGGGCCGTCTGGGCCTTCCCCTATCACTGGAACCCTCCTATCACTAGCTCAAGTAGCACTATCACTACCCCTCTCATTATCATTGTGGGAATCATGATCACCAAGTCTACTACGACGACGACTTCCGGCACCGCA